TTTTTTTTAATGTTTGAACTTATTGTGATGATAAAATTAGATATGGACCATTCCATTTGCTAAATGATCAATACTAAATTTAGACCCATATGAAAATAGTAAGAAAAATTCAGGATGTTACAAGATCAGCCGATTCGATCCAATTTTAATAACTACGACCACAACAATAGGTTGCAAGAGAAAACACGTACACTCTACATTCTCTAGTCTCTATCTCCTTTTGATAGTAATACAAAATTTTAATAGTGACTTCAAATAGTGGCAATAATTAAGCTACACAACTTACCAGAGACAATGCATGAGCTACACTACTTTCATAAACCATAAATCTTTCATTAATCCAGTCAAATAATTAATCATAGCCAAATAATAAGGATCCATGTTCTACGCACGTTTAACTATGATTAGTGATATAATAGTTTATAACTGTTGACTGTTGACACGCACACATGACCACGACCTCTTTGTTTTTGTTTCTCAAAGTTGATGCTTACTCAACAAGGTCGTCTTTTCTTTTCTGGGTGGAGAGTATAGATATGGCACATGAACACTAATATAAAAAACCCTATCATGTGCTAGTTTCGAGTATTTTGTCCCTTTAAACTTAAGATATGTAGAACTTGAATCCTTGTTCACATGAAGAAATTAGTAAAGTACAATTTTACTTCAGAAAAGCAGCTCCTCCTCACATGAGTGTGGAGATTGAGAGCTTTCTTTAATAGATAATTTATTGTAACTTCAAGGTCTAATTAATGGAGTACTACGGCGATTGTGTGTTTGTTTAGTATATGATACTCCTTCTGTCCCATTTTATATATGTCGACTTTTCTAACCAATTTTTCTCCCTTAATGTTGAAATTGTACAAATATAAATAAGGGTAGAATAGGAAAGTGTTGCCAAAAATTGCACATTAAATAAGATTTTTTAATTCGTGTAAAAAGCAAAACCAATCTATATAAATGGAATTGAGGAAGTATATATTTTGAATCTTTGATAGTGATTGGCACATGTTGGATACGTATCACTTTAGAGATAAGGATATGATTTTAACTTTTTTTTCTTCTTTAATTATATCAGAATTATTTAGTCCAGGATAATAGAAATTAATAAGAGATTAAAAACTCATTAAAGTCCCGAAACTAGATTTTTAGGCGAAACATAAAAGAATGAACAAATAAATTTTAGGCGATTTGGCAATTGATTTGCATTCAAGGGCAAATGGCAAGTAGAAGTTCATTCGACTCAGAGGGAGGGAATGGAAGCAAGCATTTCTCGTTTAATAGGTGATGAACCAGACATGCTCATATACTTAGGTATGCCACTTTCATAGCAACTTCCACAAGGTCTTCAAGTAATCCGAACCTTCTACAAAATTTACTAAGCACGTTTGGAGTTGTTTATGAATGGTTTAAATTATAAATAGATAGAAATAAGTGATGAATAAGTGAGTATTATTTGTTGATCTCACGAAATATGCAGATAAAAAGCGATTTGACTAGTAATACATAAATTATATAAGTAACCAAACATGGGCTAAAATGATATCAAAGTCTCACCTAAAGAGAGATTGTTAACTCATTGAACAAACAAACCAATTCTTATTATAAATAGATGGAATATGGGTGGATATTCTTAAAGGTCCAAAATAACACTACTTGACATTTATAATTGAGGCTGGTCTAAAATTACAACCATGGTTCTTTGGGCCCTTTATGGGGGCTACACAGGCTGGACCATATTCCCATCAAATTATCATAGGATCCTCATCACTTCACACAATCTTAGCCACAGTTGTAGAAAAAGAATTCCATAGACTGAAAATATCAAGAGCCAACTCCAATGGAGGCCTCTGATAATGAGTTTCCAGGATTTCAATGTTCGGTTCCTACTAATGAGTTTGCGATAGCACAAAAATCGCCTTTGAGTCGGTTGCAAAGACGTGCACCATGTCGTCTCCAGCTGAATCTAGCCAGCAATCTTGAATGCAAAGGTGCAGTGAGGTCCAGTGGGGGGAATATAGATTCATCATCAACAATTAGTCCATATTTTCCCAGTAAAGATCCTATTCCTCTTCTCTCTCCTCTTGTATTGCCTTCCATGCTTGAATCTCCCATTAGCCAACAGGCAAACCAGGAGAAGTCTGGTTTATAATCATAAGGTTTATCTCGTAAATGGATTAGAGTTTGGTGTCGATATTAATGTCATGTTTGATAAGGTAGATTCAACATTACTATTGCTAGAGCGAAGAAAATAAGTTATGATATTGTCTACTATACCGTCCTGTCTATTTTAGTATCGAGTATTGTATCAAACATAACGTAATTGTACAATGCATTTTTCTTTTGATTGTTTAAAAAATTATGCTAGTTCATGATACTTATCCTCATTTCTTTCTTTCTTTTGAAATCTCAAACCCACACCCATGAATACTCTCTTTTTTATTTTTTTTACAATCATAAATGGGAACCATGTAATGAAATCTTAATTAGTTTTTTTATAATCTTTTCGGATTATTTTTTTTAATGAATTATGAAACAATCTTGGAATATTAGGTTTGGACTTAGATTGTCTTATGTTCTAAAACTCAGAGCTTTATGACTAATAACATAGTTTGTAGGTTGGAACACAAGTACATGATTGCACATTATAAGAGATAATTTTGTGCTATGTTTATTTTCTTTAATCCCGTCCAATTCTACCATTCTGCGAAATAAATTATTGTTTCAAGTCTAGAACACAATCTAGCAATGGAAACATTTAGCTTAGCTTTATGGTCATTCCAAGCCTCTTTTTATTAACTGGCCGACTTCACTCGATTTGTCGAAAATTGCAAGTCAGTACTACTTCATAGATAGATCGAGTTAGTACATCGATCTTACACACTAATACCATGTTTGAGTCGCATCTTTGGAAAAAAAATACATTCTTAAATAATGATTTGACATCATTTTAACCACACATTCTTCAATAAAATAACATTACACGCAAATTCAAATTTTTTCCTTATTTTTTTAACTATATATCCTCCATCAATCTACTATTTCAAACTATATTCTTTCAAAATAATATGGCTCAAACACACACTAAGTGTGCATGTGATCGAGAGGGCAATGTAGGTATTCTTATAAAATAAATAAAGAAAGGAAAACACCGTGAAATTAAAAAAATAATAATAAAAAAAATAGCTAATGATATGCGACTTTCTTTCTTCCCATTTGATCTTATTAAACTTTAAATTACAGAATAATAATTTATGCACTGGAATATTTTGTTTCCTAATACTGCCTTCGTCCAATGTACCGTGGAAGGTAAATGTGAAAATTCAAAATTCCTCTGAGATTGAAAGTTACGATTTTGACCCCTCTACTGCACTCTACTTTTTTCCAATGTACAATTAATTAAAATTCATTTTAGTTGAAATATATATATCAGTAAACACAAATTACGGTCAAGCCGTAAAGGTATGAAGGGTTGAGAGAGGTAAAAGCATAGGCCAAAATGAAATACTATGAGAATTCAGAGCATGTTGGGAAAAATGTTTACAATTTATTTAATTATAAATAGATAAAAATTGAGTGATGAATGAGTATGTATTATTTTTGGATCATGATAATTAATTATTAAGTTAATTTTTATTTACACATTTCAAGGGATTCATAACCTATATTTTTTGTTTTGTAATTGGTCCCCAACTAAGGGTCTCGTCAATATGATGGTTTAAACGTCAATTTTTTACTAAAATGATAGTTGTGCCCTTAGATCGAAAATATATGGTTGAAAGTAATTTTTTTTGAAGGATGTATAGCTAGAAAGAAGGGAATTTTATGAATTTATGTGCAAAATTATTTTATTTAAAAAATGTAAGATAAAAAATGAATTTTAAAAAAGGGAGCCAAATATGAACTACATATTGTCTCGATTTTCACCTAATCAGTTTGGATTTACGAGTCAACTCAATCAATTCCATTCGAATTATGAAGGTGTTTGAGACCCATTTTTATGTAAAAATGTATTTTATAATAGTAAATTAATTGAGAATATATGGTTGAAAAATAAGGAATTTTTTTTTTACGTATAATATTATTTTAATAAAGAATGTGTGATTGAAAGGAAGAGAGAGAAAAATGCATTTTGAAAAAAATGATACCAAACGCAAAAATGCATTTTGAAAACTTTCTTCTCTAATTTTCATTTTGGTTTTCTTTTTATTTTTTCTCAATGATACATGTTTATTTTGGATTCGTTTGATATGGCTTTTAAGAAGTAATTCAAGTGGAAGAAGATTTTGAGAAAATAAATTAAAAGACGTTAATTCAATGTGACTTTTTAAAAGTACTTTTGGAATAAACAAAAAAAAAATCTTTTAAAAATTAAATTTCAAGCAAAAATTAGGATAACTTTTTGAGACAAATCTTTTACAAAACCAAAAGTAAGAACCCAGTTTGACACCTATTATTTGAAAAATTAAAGAGTTTTGAATAATATTTTTGGAGAATCTGTGATTAAAAAGTAAGGAAACCTTATTTGTTTGTGTATATAATATTTTATGGTGAATGTGTGGTGAAAAAATGATACTGTAACATACAATTTAAACCCTTATTTAAGCCCCATTCTTTTTATAAGATTGAATTTTTGAATAATGTATTGATGAAAAATGCGTGATTAAAAAATAAAGAAATGTTTTGAATTTGCTTATAATATTATTATATTTAAAAATGTGTGATTAAAATAATATCAAAATACTGTATAAAAATATATTTATTTTATTTTTATTTTTTCAAAAAATGAGCTCAAACAAGGGTAAAATTTTTAAAGGTCGTCAAAGAGTGTATAATCATCCTTCAATATACTTTCACTAATGCTCAGTGTACAGAATTTGGGTCACAGAAGTTTCACAAGGCTCTTACTGTGTAAGGGCCCCACATGTATTATTAAAAAATAACGTGGACTCCACGTGTGTCTATTTTGGAAAAGGCCTGTAAATTGGCCGTGAAGCACAACTCATATACTTTTCTGGTGTACTCCGAAGCATGCTTTACAAACCTCACAACGACTAATTAATTATTTTCCTTTTTGATAAATTTCTCCGCAAAAACAGGACTCTCTCTTTCTCTCTGTCTGACTGTGTGAAAGTTCCACGTTTGGGTGTTTAAATTTTTGAATTTCCACTCGAAATCCCCTACCCCAATTCCATTGGATTTCCTTCCCACGGCCGACCTTATTGTTTAGAACCCAAACGCTGTCCTTCTCGGCAGGTAAATTTCTAACTTTTCTGATTTACAATTTATGTGCTACGTGTGATTGTTATGATTCAATCAGGGTTCACGATTGAATTTTTTTCCCCTCATAATTTTAATTGGAAAAGAGTTTTAGGAACTTGTATTGTTGAATATTTCTCGGTTCATTACGGTTCAGTGGTTTCCTCGTTTTATTGTTAATTGAAGGTTTTCATGGGTTGTCTGAACCGTTTTTCTTTTTAATTTAATTCTCTTTAGGCATAATAAAGGTCAGGGATTTTTCATTGTACTTATCGTTTTACTGATGAAGACTCTTTGGCTGCACTAAATAGGTAAAAAAAGAAAAGCAAAATGAATTAAATGAATTGATTATTTATTTGAAAATTAGTGAACCTGATTAGTTCATTACTGATCAACTTTAGAGGTGCTAATTTCGAATGTTAATTGTGCAATTCAAATGCAGTACTTTGTTAGTGAACAAGACTTTTAATGGTGTATTCTGATACTAAATATGCATATTGATGTGGCAGTTATATATTTGGACAACGGAGTGCAATTCCATGAATTTGAAACAATGAATTTTTTTTTGATGTGTTGATATCGCAGTCCTTGCTTTATTTAACCATGTGCAAACAATTACAGAATTTAGGTTTAACTGATACCACTTATTGTTCCATTATATATCCAGTAGGTAAACGGGTTTTTTGATTACTTTCCTGAGTGAAAGGCTGTGGAGGCTTTACTTTCATTTAGTATATGTAAAAGCTTGTAGAAAATGGTTCTGTTAAAATTCTGGATCCCACTATGGTCCAGGAATTTATTTAGTTTGTTGTTCATAAGATGTTTCATGGTCTATCTGCACTGTTCTTCCTGGTTTGTTCAAAAGTTTTGGGAAACAAACGGATGAAATTAGGAATTTTCAACTGCAGTTATAAATTTTACTAATTATAAACGGTTTGGTTGCAATTACAACACAAGAAGAAAAAGTGGTAATAGGAAATAAGTTCCAGTTGTGTGGGCTAACAATTGCAGAATTCAGGTTTGAATTTCGATGGGGGTACCTTGTTATGTGATCTTGGTTCCATTGCATATACAGTGCATAACTAGGTAATGATTATTTGCACATGTGAAAGCTGTGAAGGTTTTAGACTCTCTGGAAAGGAATTCTATTGTGTGCTTTCACGTTTTCAATTTTTTTTTGGTTCTTCGTGAATGTATGTAGCCACTGTGGTCCAGGTTTAAGTACATCTTGCATTTCTCCTTTCTTAAAGATGTAAGCATGCTGGAAACTTTGTATTCGTGTATGTGGGTTATGAACATGGGCAATTAGGTATGCTGTTATTGCTGCCTGTAATCATGTATTTGCAACATTTGGAATGGATTATTTTTTGTTTCTCTCTTAAATAACTAGCTAATTGACCGTTATCCATTCAGTGGCAAATGAGGGGAATATCCATAAGTCACTCTCATCCCAGACCCTGCTCTGGGAAGAAAACATCAAGAAAGGACAGGAATAATGGGGAAGCTGATAATGTTATTCTCATCGATGTAGATCCTGATCATTTCGACAATGTTATTATCATTGATGTCCCTGAATCTTTGCCTAAGAAATCCCGAGGTTCAAGCTTGCTCAGGAAAGACAAAAAGTGGCCATATGTTATATGTATTGATGATGATGAAAGCACAGATGACAACTGTTCTGGTATTGGTGTAAATGCCAATGGTAGTTTCTCTAATAGTGCCACCTGTAGCAAGAAGTCTTGCCTTGCCTCCAAAGAGTTTGAAAATGCTGCAGATTCTGCTGGTGTAGAATGCCAGTTTGTTCCAGGAAATGCGACTCCAGTTAGGTTATCAAAATGCAAGCGCACCTACTCTGGAAAAGCTTCCACTAGAAATGGTTATGGTCCAGGTGTCAATTCAGAAGGTGATTTATCTGGTAAATATTCTCCGGATTGTGTGATAATGGAAGATTCTTCTGGAGAGCTTCAAAAACAGTGGGAAAAGGCTTTCTTCAGGAGAAAAAAAGATAAGTGTAATGGTAGATATGATGCTAAAGACTGTGATGATACTTCAAGGGCTTCCAATGAAAATCACCACCAGAATGTTACAGAGGAAATCAAGAGCGGAAAATATGAGGAAGCCCCATTTTGTTCTAGTACTAGCAAATCCAGTGAAGAAAATGAAGCTTCATCTCCTTTTGTTGCCAAAGAGGACGACAATTTCAGCAGCACATTTTTTAAGGATCCTACCCCTGATGATATTTCTTTGCAGTCAGTGCTGAAAACACACATGCAGTATAATCAGCCTGCTAGTAATGAGAGATCACATTCTGGGGCTGAATATTCTCCTTTCAACTTTACTGAGCAGCAGTCTTCCCAACATTATGATTTAGGTAGTTCCAGCTGTCACAAGAAGCAAAACCAGCACTCTCCTCCTTTGTCTCATTTTCCTTGTGATGGACATGGAACTAAGCAAGTTAATCATACAACTTCTCTTGAAGATGATGAGGAATTCATGCGCAAGCATCAAAATTCATTTGAAACTAATATTGATCATGACAGATCTACTGTAAGGACCAGAGCTGAGAAGTTTCAAGAGAAAGTTACTGTTAGTGATAAGGATATTGAGCATTCACAAACCTGTGAACCAGGTGCAACTAGCAGTGTCAAGGAAAAGGAGAACTTAATGTCTGAAAATTCTTCATTTGTGCAGTTTTCTTCACTGAATGATCAAGTTAAAGATGACGCTACTAGAGTTGGACCTGTCTCTGAAGAAGCCTTCTTCTGTAAAAACTATTCTCTTGATCCAAAAAATGTAATTGACAATAGCAAGTTGGTTCCAGAGATGCCATCATCCTGCAATAGGCATCTTAATGAAACACAAGCTAGAGAGGATGATTCTTGTTTGGACGAGGCTGCAGAAAAGCTCATTGAACCTGTATCAAACAGTCTTAGGGTGGTTGAAAGAGATTATTCACAACATACCCGACATGGAGAAAATTCGCAAGGTGTTGAGACTTGTATCATTAATGAACGAGAAAAGCTTAAGGAAACAGATGAATACAAAAGAGCAATAGAAGAAGAGTGGGCTTCTCGGCATCGAGCATTACAAATTCAGGTTTGTTACAATTACTGTTATATTTTCTTCAGTTATGCTGCATATTGGTTATTTTTCTTCATTCGTCATGTTTTGGTGAGAATTTTTGGGGATTACTTTGCATTATTTAATGCTGTTTTAGCTTTCTATAAAATTGCTAGGCTTCTGGGATTCTTTTAAAGTTCAAAGTCAACTTTTTGATGGTAGGTATTACTTAAATTAATGAGCATATCTAACATTGATAAAGAAAAATAGAAAATCCAACTTCTGTGACCAATTACGGCAATAAAAATCCAAATCTAGTGGCCAATGGAGATGACAATTATCGACATATATAATATAAATTTTAGAGTTAATAAGTGAAGTTTTTGAGGCCTACTTACTAATGGTGGTGGAATTTAGTTACAATTCTTGATTCTCTCTTTTGTATGCTCTTCTGAATGATGTTTTTATTTTGCAATTTTTTTGAGTTCTATATTCATCTAAAGCTTTGTACTTTTCATTTCAACTGAAGTATTTTCTACTTGAATTTCCCAAAATAATGGGGAAATTACCTTTAGTGGGTTCCTGTTCATAGCCCAGAATCGGGACAGCCATCAATCTGCTTCAGTTTAAGCACAGTTTATTTATGGGTTTAATGCTATCTCCAGTCAACAAATAGTTTGCATATGATGTGCCTGTTTGTTTCTTTAAAGGCTGAAGAAGCACAACACTTGAGGCAATTGCGGAAGAGACAAAAAGCTGAAAGCATGCGTTTGTTGGACATGGAAAGAAGACAAAAGCAGCGGGTGGAAGAAATACGTGAGACTCAAAAGAAGGTTTCTAAAACTCTTTCTCTTATACTTGATCCATTCATTTGTTAGTTTCTGAAGGTATCTTCACTAGTTACTATACCTTGAAATTTTGTATGATGTGAGTTATTCATTTTTTAACTATTAAGGATGAGGAAAATATGAACTTGAAGGAGGCAATTCGTACCGAGGTCAGAACACAACTTAAGAAATTGGAAACCATGTGCCATGATATGGCTTCTCTGTTGCATTACTTAGGAATCAAGATGGCTAGTTGGCCTCATCCATCACCACACGAGGTTGGTAATACTTCCACTTTAAAGTAGATATTTTCGTGGTCGGGTTGTATTATGGGTCTTTAGTTCCTTTTATGAGCATGTATTTTTTTGATGAATATATATTATGTCTATTTTCCTTCAATTGCAACAACTAGACCAGTCGCTGGTCACCTCATGTCTGAAAATGTTAGGTCACTCTTTCATTCTTGGCTTACTGTGTCTGTGTTTTTCTCTATATATGATTTTTTCAAATTCCTTTGTTTTGTTTCTTTGTTTGATGTTCAACAAGTTTGTGTCTTCTGTGGGTTCTACCCCTAAGATTGAGTTCTTGTGGTGTCATATGTATGACTGAACATTCTATAATTGGTAGTTCACTGTGGTACTAATTTGTTTTGGTGTGACAATTTTTTGGTGTCATTCTTCTACTGTGTAGAACTTGCATTGGATTGGGCTTGAAGAACTGCTGTTCTTGAGTGTTCAGTGGCTTTCACATTCAAACAATATCTTCATCCTTGCTAAAAGCAAACAGCATGTCCATGGATCTTATGGGAAGTTCACAAAATATTTACGCAGCTGTGTTTAAACAGTTTGAATCTATTATCCTCGCTGATGAAACCTCACAATTATAAAAAGTTCATACGTGCATATTCTGTTGTGAGCACTTGGCACGCAATAGAGTTGCAAATTTGTGGGTGGCTATTTTAGCTGATACTGTACTCAAGTTATCTGCATCATTTACAGGGTTTGTGGACTCATTCAATGAAATTAGGATTCATCACCAACGAAAAGATTCCCATACATGCAATTACACGACTTTAAGCAGTTTGTTTAACAACAATGTTTCTCCTTGTGGTTTTATTGTCTTCACATTTGTATTATGTTCTGTTTATATTTCTGTCCATGTTAAGTAGACTATCATTTTTCTTTTAAAGTGATTAGTGAAAATTCATTACATTTTCAGGTACAAATAGCTTATAAACGGGCCAAGGTCTAATTAATGGAGTACTACGGCGATTGTGTGTTTGTTTAGTATATGATACTCCTTCTGTCCCATTTTATATATGTCGACTTTTCTAACCAATTTTTCTCCCTTAATGTTGAAATTGTACAAATATAAATAAGGGTAGAATAGGAAAGTGTTGCCAAAAATTGCACATTAAATAAGATTTTTTAATTCGTGTAAAAAGCAAAACCAATCTATATAAATGGAATTGAGGAAGTATATATTTTGAATCTTTGATAGTGATTGGCACATGTTGGATACGTATCACTTTAGAGATAAGGATATGATTTTAACTTTTTTTTTTCTTCTTTAATTATATCAGAATTATTTAGTCCAGGATAATAGAAATTAATAAGAGATTAAAAACTCATTAAAGTCCCGAAACTAGATTTTTAGGCGAAACATAAAAGAATGAACAAATAAATTTTAGGCGATTTGGCAATTGATTTGCATTCAAGGGCAAATGGCAAGTAGAAGTTCATTCGACTCAGAGGGAGGGAATGGAAGCAAGCATTTCTCGTTTAATAGGTGATGAACCAGACATGCTCATATACTTAGGTATGCCACTTTCATAGCAACTTCCACAAGGTCTTCAAGTAATCTGAACCTTCTACAAAATTTACTAAGCACGTTTGGAGTTGTTTATGAATGGTTTAAATTATAAATAGATAGAAATAAGTGATGAATAAGCGAGTATTATTTGTTGATCTCACGAAATATGCAGATAAAAAGCGATTTGACTAGTAATACATAAATTATATAAGTAACCAAACATGGGCTAAAATGATATCAAAGTCTCACCTAAAGAGAGATTGTTAACTCATTGAACAAACAAACCAATTCTTATTATAAATAGATGGAATATGGGTGGATATTCTTAAAGGTCCAAAATAACACTACTTGACATTTATAATTGAGGCTGGTCTAAAATTACAACCATGGTTCTTTGGGCCCTTTATGGGGGCTACACAGGCTGGACCATATTCCCATCAAATTATCATAGGATCCTCATCACTTCACACAATCTTAGCCACAGTTGTAGAAAAAGAATTCCATAGACTGAAAATATCAAGAGCCAACTCCAATGGAGGCCTCTGATAATGAGTTTCCAGGATTTCAATGTTCGGTTCCTACTAATGAGTTTGCGATAGCACAAAAATCGCCTTTGAGTCGGTTGCAAAGACGTGCACCATGTCGTCTCCAGCTGAATCTAGCCAGCAATCTTGAATGCAAAGGTGCAGTGAGGTCCAGTGGGGGGAATATAGATTCATCATCAACAATTAGTCCATATTTTCCCAGTAAAGATCCTATTCCTCTTCTCTCTCCTCTTGTATTGCCTTCCATGCTTGAATCTCCCATTATCCAACAGGCAAACCAGGAGAAGTCTGGTTTATAATCATAAGGTTTATCTCGTAAATGGATTAGAGTTTGGTGTCGATATTAATGACATGTTTGATAAGATAGATTCAACATTACTATTGTTAGAGTGAAGAAAATAAGTTATGATATTGTCTACTATACCGTCCTGTCTATTTTAGTGTCGAGTATTGTATCAAACATAACGTAATTGTACACTGCATTTTTCTTTTGATTGTTTAAAAAATTATGCCAGTTCATGAAACTTATCCTCATTTCTTTCTTTCTTTCTCTTGAAATCTCAAACCCACACCCACGAATACTCTCTTCTTTATTTTTTATTTTTACAATCATAAATGGGAACCATGTAATGAAATCTTAATTAGTTTTTTATAATCTTTTCGGATTATTTTTTTTAATGAATTATGAAACAATATTGGAATATTAGGTTTGGACTTAGATTGTCGTATGTTCTAAAACTGAGAGCTTTATGACTAATAACATAGTTTGTAGGTTGGAACACAAGTACATGATTGCACATTATAAGAGATAATTTTGTGCTATGTTTATTTTCTTTAATCCCGTCCAATTCTACCATTCTGCGAAATAAATTATTGTTTCAAGTCTAGAACACAATAGCAATGGAAACGTTTAGCTTAGCTTTATGGTCATTCCAAGCCTCTTTTTATTAACTGGCCAACTTCACTCGATTTGTCGAAAATTGCAAGTCAGTACTACTTCATAGATAGATCGAGTTAGTACATCGATCTTACACACTAATACCATGTTTGAGTCGCATCTTTGGAAAAAAAATACATTCTTAAATAATGATTTGACATCATTTTAACCACACATTCTTCAATAAAATAACATTACACGCAAATTCAAATTTTTTCCTTATTTTTTTAACTATATATCCTCCATCAATCTACTATTTCAAACTATATTCTTTCAAAATAATATGGCTCAAACACACACTAAGTGTGCATGTGATCGAGAGGGCAATGTAGGTATTCTTATAAAATAAATAAAGAAAGGAAAACACCGTGAAATTAAAAAAATAATAATAAAAAAAATAGCTAATGATATGCGACTTTCTTTCTTCCCATTTGATCTTATTAAACTTTAAATTACAGAATAATAATTTATGCACTGGAATATTTTGTTTCCTAATACTGCCTTTCGTCCAATGTACCGTGGAAGGTAAATGTGAAAATTCAAAATTCCTCTGAGATTGAAAGTTACGATTTTGACCCCTCTACTGCACTCTACTTTTTTCCAATGTACAATTAATTAAAATTCATTTTAGTTGAAATATATATCAGTAAACACAAATTACGGTCAAGCCGTAAAGGTTTGAAGAGTTGAGAGAGGTAAAAGCATAGGCCAAAATGAAATACTATGAGAATTCAGAGCATGTTGAAAAATGTTTACAATTTATTTAATTATAAATAGATAAAAATTGAGTGATGAATGAGTATGTATTATTTTTGGATCATGATAATTAATTATTAAGTTAATTTTTATTTACACATTTCAAGGGATTCATAACCTATATTTTTTTGTTTTGTAATTGGTCCCCAACTAAGGGTCTCGTCAATATGATGGTTTAAACGTCAATTTTTTACTAAAATGATAGTTGTGCCCTTAGATCGAAAATATATGGTTGAAAGTAATTTTTTTTTGAAGGATGTATAGCTAGAAAGAAGGGAATTTTATGAATTTATGTGCAAAATTATTTTATTTAAAAACTGTAAGATAAAAAATGAATTTTAAAAAAGGGAGCCAAATATGAACTACATATTGTCTCGATTTTCACCTAATCAGTTTGGATTTACGAGTCAACTCAATCAATTCCATTCGAATTATGAAGGTGTTTGAGACCCATTTTTATGTAAAAATGTATTTTATAATAGTAAATTAATTGAGAATATATGGTTGAAAAATAAGGAATTTTTTTTTACGTATAATATTATTTTAATAAAGAATGTGTGATTGAAAGGAAGAGAGAGAAAAATGCATTTTGAAAAAAAGGATACCAAATGCAAAAATGCATTTTGAAAACTTTCTTCTCTAATTTTCATTTTGGTTTTCTTTTTATTTTTTCTCAATGATACATGTTTATTTTGGATTCGTTTGATATGGCTTTTAAGAAGTAATTCAAGTGGAAGAAGATTTTGAGAAAATAAATTAAAAGACGTTAATTCAATGTGACTTTTTAAAAGTACTTTTGGAATAAACAAAAAAAAAAATCTTTTAAAAATTAAATTTCAAGCAAAAATTAGGATAACTTTTTGAGACAAATCTTTTACAAAACCAAAAGTAAGAACCCAGTTTGACACCTATTATTTGAAAAATTAAAGAGTTTTGAATAATATTTTTGGAGAATCTGTGATTAAAAAGTAAGGAAACCTTATTTGTTTGTGTATATAATATTTTATGGTGAATGTGTGGTGAAAAAATGATACTGTAACATACAATTTAAACCCTTATTTAAGCCCCATTCTTTTTATAAGATTGAATTTTTGAATAATGTATTGATGAAAAATGTGTGATTAAAAAATAAAGAAATGTTTTGAATTTGCTTATAATATTATTATATTGAAAAATGTGTGATTAAAATAATATCAAAATACTGTATAAAAATATATTTATTTTATTTTTATTTTTTCAAAAAATGAGCTCAAACAAGGGTAAAATTTTTAAAGGTCGTCAAAGAGTGTATAATCATCCTTCAATATACTTTCACTAATGCTCAGTGTACAGAATTTGGGTCACAGAAGTTTCACAAGGCTCTTACTGTGTAAGGGCCCCACATGTATTATTAAAAAATAACGTGGACTCCACGTGTGTCTATTTTGGAAAAGGCCTGTAAATTGGCCGTGAAGCACAACTCATATACTTTTCTGGTGTACTCCGAAGCATGCTTTACAAACCTCACAACGACTAATTAATTATTTTCCTTTTTGATAAATTTCTCCGCAAAAACAGGACTCTCTCTTTCTCTCTGTCTGACTGTGTGAAAGTTCCACGTTTGGGTGTTTAAATTTTTGAATTTCCACTCGAAATCCCCTACCCCAATTCCATTGGATTTCCTTCCCACGGCCGACCTTATTGTTTAGAACCCAAACGCTGTCCTTCTCGGCAGGTAAATTTCTAACTTTTCTGATTTACAATTTATGTGCTACGTGTGATTGTTATGATTCAATTAGGGTTCACGATTGAATTTTTTTCCCCTCATAATTTTAATTGGAAAAGAGTTTTAGGAACTTGTTTTGTTGAATATTTCTCGGTTCATTACGGTTCAGTGGTTTCCTCGTTTTATTGTTAATTGAAGGTTTTCATGGGTTGTCTGAACCGTTTTTCTTTTTAATTTAATTCTCTTTAGGCATAATAAAGGTCAGGGATTTTTCATTGTACTTATCGTTTTACTGATGAAGACTCTTTGGAATAGGTAAAAAAAAAGAAAAGCAAAATGAATTAAATGAATTGATTATTTATTTGAAAATTAGTGAACCTGATTAGTTCATTACTGATCAACTTTAGAGGTGCTAATTTCAAATGTTAATTGTGCAATTCAATTGCAGTACTTTGTTAGTGAACAAGACTTTTAATGGTGTATTCTGATACTAAATATGCATATTGATGTGGCAGTTATATATTTGGACAACGGAGTGCAATTCCATGAATTTGAAACAATGAATTTTTTTTGATGTGTTGATATCGCAGTCCTTGCTTTATTTAACCATGTGCAAACAATTACAGAATTTAGGTTTAACCGATACCACTTATTGTTCCATTATATATCCAGTAGGTAAACGGGTTTTTTGACTACTTTCCTGAGTGAAAGGCTGTGGAGGCTTTACTTTCATTTAGTAAATGTAAAAGCTCGTAGAAAAAGGTTCTGTTAAAATTCTGGATCCCACTATGGTCCAGGAATTTATTTAGTTTCTTGTTCATAAGATGTTTCATGGTCTATCTGCACTGTTCTTCCTGGTTTGTTCAAAAGTTTTGGGAAACGAACGGATGAAATGAGGAATTTTCAACTGCAGTTATAAATTTTACTAATTATAAACGGTTTGGTTGCAATTACAACACAAGAAGAAAAAGTGGAAATAGGAAATAAGTTCCAGTTGTGTGGGCTAACAATTGCAGAATTCAGGTTTGAATTTCGATGGGGGTACCTTGTTATGTGATCTTGGTTCCATTGCATAACTAGGTAATGATTATTTGCACATGTGAAAGCTGTGAAGGTTTTAGACTCTCTGGAAAGGAATTCTATTGTGTGCTTGCACCTTTTTCAATTTTTTTTGGTTCTTCATGAATGTATGTAGCCACTGTGGTCCAGGTTTAAGTACATCTTGCATTTCTCCTTTCTTAAAGATGTAAGCATGGTGGAAACTTTGTATTCATGTATGTGGGTTATGAACATGGGCAATTAGGTATGCTGTTATTGCTGCCTGTAATCATGTATTTGCAACATTTGGAATGGATTATTTTTTGTTTCTCTCTTAAATAACTAGCTAATTGACCGTTGTCCATTCAGTGGCAAATGAGGGGGATATCCATAAGTCACTCTCATCCCAGACCCTGCTCTGGGAAGAAAACATCAAGAAAGGACAGGAATAATGGGGAAGCTGATAATGTCATTCTCATCGATGTAGATCCTGATCATTTCGACAATGTTATTATCATTGATGTCCCTGAATCTTTGCCTAAGAAATCCCGAGGTTCAAGCTTGCTCAGGAAAGACAAAAAGTGGCCATTTGTTATATGTATTGATGATGATGAAAGCACAGATGACAACTGTTCTGGTATTGGTGTAAATGCCAATGGTAGTTTCTCTAATAGTGCCACCTGTAGCAAGAAGTCTTGCTTTGCCTCCAAAGAGTTTGAAAATGCTGCAGATTCTGCTGGTGAAGAATGCCAGTTTGTTCCAGGAAATGCGACTCCAGTTAGGTTATCAAAATGCAAGCGCACCTACTCTGGAAAAGCTTCCACTAGAAACGGCTATGGTCCAAGTGTCAATTCAGAAGGTGATTTATCTGGTAAAGATTCTCCGGATTGTGTGATAATGGAAGATTCTTCTGGAGAGCTTCAAAAACAGTGGGAAAAGGCTTTCTTCAGGAGAAAAAAAGATAAGTGTAATGGTATATATGATGCTAAAGGCTGTGATGATACTTCAAGGGCTTCCAATGAAAATCACCACCAGAATGTTACACAGGAAATCAAGAGCAGAAAATATGAGGAAGCCCCATTTTGTTCTAGTACTAGCAAATCCAGTGAAGAAAATGAAGCTTCATCTCCTTTTGTTACAAAAGAGGATGACAATTTCAGCAGCACATTTTTTAAGGATCCTACCCCTGATGATATTTCTTTGCAGTCAGTGCTGAAAACACACATGCAGTATAATCAGCCTGCTAGTAATGAGAGATCACATTCTGGGGCTGAATATTCTCCTTTCAACTTTACTGAGCAGCAGGCTTCCCAACATTATGATTTAGGTAGTTCCAGCTGTCACAAGAAGCAAAACCAGCACTCTCCTCTGTCTCATTTTCCTTGTCATGGACATGGAACTAAGCAAGTTAATCATACAACTTCTCTTGAAGATGATGAGGAATTCATGCGCAAGCATCAAAATTCATTTGAAACTAATATTGATCATGACAGATCTACTGTAAGGGCCAGAGCTGAGAAGTTTCAAGAGAAAGTTACTGTTAGTGATAAGGATATTGAGCATTCACAAACCTGTGAACCAGGTGCAACTAGCAGTGTCAAGGAAAAGGAGAACTTAATGTCTGAAAATTCTTCATTTGTGCACTTTTCTTCACTGAATGATCAAGTTAAAGATGACGCTACTAGAGTTGGACCTGTCTCTGAAGAAGCCTTCTTCTGTAAAAACTCCTCTCTTGATCCAAAAAATGTAATTGACAATAGCAAGTTGGTTCCAGAGATGCCATCATCCTGCAATAGGCATCTTAATGAAACACAAGCTAGAGAGGATGATTCTTGTTTGGACGAGGCTGCAGAAAAGCTCATTGAACCTGTATCAAACAGTCTTAGGGTGGTTGAAAGAGATTATTCACAACATACCCGACATGGAGAAAATTCGCAAGGTGTTGAGACTTGTATCATTAATGAACGAGAAAAGCTTAAGGAAACAGATGAATACAAAAGAGCAATAGAAGAAGAGTGGGCTTCTCGGCATCGAGCATTACAAATTCAGGTTTGTTACAATTACTGTTATATTTTCTTCAGTTATGCTGCATATTGGTTATTTTTCTTCGTTCGTTATGTTTTGGTGAGAATTTTTGGGGATTACTTTGCATTATTTAATGCTGTTTTAGCTTTCTATAAAATTGCTAGGCTTCTGGGATTCTTTTAAAGTTCAAAGTCAACTTTTTGATGGTAGGTATTACTTAAATTAATGAGCATATCTAACATTGATAAAGAAAAATAGAAAATCCAACTTCTGTGACCAATTACGGCAATAAAAATCCAAATCTAGTGGCCAATGGAGATGACAATTATCGACATATATAATATAAATTTTAGAGTTAATAAGTGAAGTTTTTGAGGCCTACTTACTAATGGTGGTGGAATTTAGTTACAATTCTTGATTCTCTCTTTTGTATGCTCTTCTGAATGATGTTTTTATTTTGCAATTTTTTTGAGTTCTGTATTCATCTAAAGCTTTGTACTTTTCATTTCAACTGAAGTATTTTCTACTTGAATTTCCCAAAATAATGGGGAAATTACCTTTAGTGGGTTCCTGTTCATAGCCCAGAATCAGGACAGCCATCAATCTGCTTCAGTTTAAGCACAGTTTATTTATGGGTTTAATGCTATCTCCAGTCAACAAATAGTTTGCATATGATGTGCCTGTTTGTTTCTTTAAAGGCTGAAGAAGCACAACACTTGAGGCAATTGCGGAAGAGACAAAAAGCTGAAAGCATGCGTTTGTTGGACATGGAAAGAAGACAAAAGCTGCGGGTGGAAGAAATACGTGAGACTCAAAAGAAGGTTTCTAAAACTCTTTTTCTTATACTTGATCCATTCATTTGTTAGTTTCTGAAGGTATCTTCACTAGTTACTATACCTTGAAATTTTGTATGATGTGGGTTATTCATTTTTTAACTATTAAGGATGAGGAAAATATGAACTTGAAGGAGGCAATTCGTACCGAGGTCAGAACACAACTTAAGAAATTGGAAACCATGTGCCATGATATGGCTTCTCTGTTGCATTACTTAGGAATCAAGATGGCTAGTTGGCCTCATCCATCACCACATGAGGTTGGTAATACTTCCACTTTAAAGTAGATATTTTCGTGGTCGGGTTGTATTATGGGTCTTTAGTTCCTTTTATGAGCATGTATTTTTTTGATAAATATATATTATGTCTATTTTCCTTCAATTGCAACAACTAGACCAGTCGCTGGTCACCTCATGTCTGAAAATGTTAGGTCACTCTTTCATTCTTGGCTTACTGTATCTGTGTTTTTCTCTATATATGATTTTTTCAAATTCCTTTGTTTTGTTTCTTTGTTTGATGTTCAACAAGTTTGTGTCTTCTGTGGGTTCTACCCCTAAGATTGAGTTCTTGTGGTGTCATATGTATGACTGAACATTCTATAATTGGTAGTTCACTGTGGTACTAATTTGTTTTGGTGTGACAATTTTTTGGTGTCATTCTTCTACTGTGTAGAACTTGCATTGGATTGGGCTTGAAGAACTGCTGTTCTTGAGTGTTCAGTGGCTTTCACATTCAAACAATATCTTCATCCTTGCTAAAAGCAAACAGCATGTCCATGGATCTTATGGGAAGTTCACAAAATATTTACGCAGCTGTGTTTAAACAGTTTGAATCTATTATCCTCGCTGATGAAACCTCACAATTATAAAAAGTTCATACGTGCATATTCTGTTGTGAGCACTTGGCACGCAATAGAGTTGCAAATTTGTGGGTGGCTATTTTAGCTGATACTGTACTCAAGTTATCTGCATCATTTACAGGGTTTTGTTGACTCATTCAATGAAATTAGGATTCATCACCAACGAAAAGATTCCCATACATGCAATTGCACGACTTTAAGCAGTTTGTTTAACAACAATGTTTCTCCTTGTGGTTTTATTGTCTTCACATTTGTATTATGTTCTGTTTATATTTCTGTCCATGTTAAGTAGACTATCATTTTTCTTTTAAAGTGATTAGTGAAAATTCATTACATTTTCAGGTACAAATAGCTTATAAACGGGCCTTGCTTACCTTTCACCCTGATCGAGCCTTGGGATCTGACATTCGTCAGCAGGTGGAAGCTGAGGAGAAATTTAAGCTTATCAACCGCCTGAAGGATAAATTTTCAGCTTCTGCACGACAATAATGTTGTGTATTCACACTGTTATGGGGTTGAGCTATTTGGCTAATGTGCTGCCAATGCTTTGGGTGCTTCATACAGAACCCATTTTGGACAGGTGGGCTGTTCTTCGAGACGTGAGCAAATCTTGATGATAGAAATAATTATATCTGACCAAAATATGTAGTTTTGAAGCAAATTATGATCTTTCATTTCATTTCATTTTTTTGTAATGATAATTTTTTAATAACTTGATGTTCACAAAATATGTTGCTTTATTTTTGTTGGATCATGCTTAGAATATCTGGATTGAACTGGATGTAACATGATTTGCACTCCATGTTGATGGCGTAGTGTGATAATCAAAAGAAGAGAGTGAACATAATTTGGTGACGGTGTGAACTTGTAACGCTGAAGGATCATCGAGATTGCAATTTTCACTTAAATTGTATTGTAATTTAGGCTGACGCGCATTTGGGGTCCAGAACTGAATCGGACTAATACTATGGGGTTATTCTTTGTTGCTTTAGCCACACCTTCTGCATCTCTCTGGCTTGAGAAGGTGAGCATTTTCTCCCCATATTTCAGTATTTCTGTGGAGTGCCAGAGTTGGAATATGCAACTCCATGTTCCCTGGAAATTCGTACTTCCCCAGTTGGGCTTTGCTTTTCAATCTTACGAGACTTTCAGCTGGGCAGTACAGTCTTAGGGCTTCATTGATGATCATTGTTACCTAAACATATAACGAGAGAGAGGAGGCATGTGATTGAAGTAGCGAAGTATAGGAGATGTTCGTCTATATCTAACTCTGTATATTAAATGAGCCGTTATGGCATGTTCGGTGCAGAAACATAAGTACTGGACATTGAGCAATATAAAGAAGTTCAATCTTATTAAGTGCACATTTCTAGTGTTCAATCCCAGTTCAATCACGATAAGAAGTCCAATCTTAACATGGTATCAAATATTGAACGATGGTATACATGGCAACATTTCATTGGATTTTGGGCTAAAACATAGTTAAATAGCCAATCATGGGTTGCCATCTCAGCAATTGCAAAATCTCTTGTGCATTTCTCCTATACAAAGGGTGAAATCCTTAAATATTTAAATGTTATACTTGCAGTCTTCATTCTGGCAAGGCATTCTGATGTTGGATTTTCTCTTCCAAA